ACACACGACCCTGAAAAGAAAGAAGCGTGTACAGAAAATGGATGGATGGAAGGATGGATGGATGGATGGATCTTCATTAATTTAATATATTTCTTCTCCAGTTTTTCTCACAAGAACTTTTTCTTCTGACTTTTGAATCAAATCTTCAACAGATTCAGTTTCTTCAGCAGCTTATTTCTCCTCTTCAACCCTAAATCTTTAAAATAAGTTCTAAGTAGAAAAGTAGAAAATAGCTGTAAGTAAATCAAAAACACAAACCGTACACAGTTTGAGCATGGAGCAGAGTTTGCACAATTCACTCTGAGCATTAATAAAACACCACTGACTCTGCACATGTTAGCTGTGTTGCAATCAGGTTTCAAGTATCACATCCCTGTTTCACCACACGTCTTTTATCGGGAAACGTCCTGCTTCCATCCAAGATGTCACGAACCATAAAGCTAATAACACTCAGCCAATGCACGTGACTTATTTTGTTTTCATTTCTGCAGAGATGTCATGTTGCCATATAGTTTATGAAATGCACCTTTTCCTTAATCATTTTCCAAAGTTAAATTGGTTGAGTGCTTGGGGAGAAAATCTTTACTTATACAAAAGTGCAGCACACTTATCAYGCTTTAAAAAAAGACCCATGACTTCAGTAAATACCGTTCGGTTTCAGGAACATGTTTTAAGAAAAAAAGAAAAAAACAAGGATCTGGTTACGTTTAAAAGTGCAAAAATAATGAACTAAACTTTCTGGCAGCGCACAAGCATGWTCTGAGACAATAAAAGGGATGTAAGTTAAGAGGTAAATTTAATTTAAAATAYGTTTGAACCCCTTTAAAGTGTATGCTTTATTTCAGTAAGACTTTGATGCAAAACGTAAGCAGAGTAAACTTTGTTGTTAAAAAGAAAAAAAATTATTAGGTAAAACAGGAATAAAGAAGGGATTTAACTTTGGTTAAAAAATGATTGGACATCACATTCCCGGTAATTACCGGGATCTATTAAAATAGCATATAATCTTCCCAATCTACCATTAAATCAAAGTTTTTAATAAGTATATTTTCAGAAAAAATCTTTCAAATTTAAATTCTTTAATTTCATTTATAAATTACCATCTTTCTCTACCAGAAATCCCTTCGTATAATATTTGACATTAAAGCTTGGGGATTCGTTTCTTTTTAAATATCAGGTGAAATTCCCAATGACATCATACCGGTTCAATAAAAATCAAGTAAATCTGGACTCTTGTAAACAAATCTAGTTTGTTGCCAGATCAGGGAATAAATCTCCAAATTTCAACAAACTTTATTTAATTTTGAAGATTCTGAGACGGAGAATTTTAAAAGTGGATACACACATCTGGTGACTTTGTTTCCCAGTAAGTACCTGGTTTTTTAGAAAAGGTAATAAATGAATAAAACTGCCAACACGTCACATTTTACATGYAAGTTCAACTTTAAGGTACTTATTTAAGTTATTATGACTTGTTTAGTCATTTAATTTAAAACTTATATGTTGTATTTACTGTTTGTTTACTAATAAAAACAAATCTAAAATCTTTTTTTTATTAAATAACAGCAATCTTAGCCTTTATGGATATAAATTAGCAAGACTCCCTTCCTTGTTTCTGCTGTTTTAATAAAAATCTTCACATACCGAAGATCTGAGGCCTCAAAGTCCAGAAATACCGAAGCCCCGGAGGCTTTCAGCTGCATCGTTTTAGTCTCACTTTATATTTTATCCTGAGATACGCAGCATTTGTCTCAGTTTCCAGAACACGTGAGTTGTGAGGGCTCCAACTACAGAATCAGTGCAGCCGCAAAGCCAATCTTTGRTTTTATTCTTCGGTTTTATTTGAAAAACCGTTTCGAAATTTTCAAAAACATGTCGTCACATTGCAGCAGGGATTTTACGGTTTCCAACAGTAAAACAGATTTAAAAATAACTTAATATGCATCTAATTCRCTTCAATATCAATATCCACGGGCTTCAATATCAGAATCTGCACTCAGTTTGGTTTAAACTATTTTTATCTTCAGCAGAAGCTCTGAAAAGGAAAAAAAAAAACTGCCAAAACGAAATCAGATTCAGCTCAATCTGATCAGGTCAGAAATCCCAGCAGCAAATAACTTCCAACCCCAGCCAGAAGCCACAAGGGGTAAACGGTAAAATATGTTTTTCTTTCTTTTTTGTGTGTTTTGAATGAGCTTAAGATTTTAAATAGCCTCTGGGAACATAATTAAGTATCATTAAAGTGTTCTGCTTCCCTTAACAGAAACCTGACGATACAATAAAAAGCAGTGATAAAATGTAAAAGTTTTTTTTTTCATTTCTTGTTTATAATGTCACTGGACGGGGCCAAACTCTGGGTAGGATGAATAAGTTTAACTTTAGCTGCTGCTGCCCATGAGTAAAACTGGCATCTGTGTTTGTGTTTCAGGTGGACTGGACTGGACTGGACTGGACTGGACTCACCCGTCTCTCATGCAGCTGAGGCTCGTCGATGAAGATACCGGACTGTTGGCGTCGAAGTTCCTCTCCAGGCTCGGATAGCAGGACGGAGCGTCAGCAGGTGGAGGAAGAAACTCTGGATTGAGTCTGTTGTGGGTTGAGTTGCTGTTTGAGTAAATACCTGTAACACAGATATTACACACTGAGTACACACTGAGTACACACTGAGTACACACGCATATTCTGTGTTTTTAATGATGTGAATGTAGCTTCTGACTAGACTGGGCAGCATGGAGGAGAGGGACACTTTTACGTCTTTGTAATATTGATCTGTGACACGTCATTTCTAATAAAAGTGACGTCATCAAGAAAAAAAACACAACTGTACATGTTAAAAAAGAAATATCAGTGTTATTTTAGCTACTTTTAGCTTTTAGTTAGCCTTTTAGATTCAAGAAACTGTTTTGATCCTTTTAGTTAGTGTTGTGCTCCTTTAAGCAAGCTTTAGCTAATTTTAGCTCTAACTTCTACTTTTAGTTTTTAGCTAGTTTCTAGCTACTTTTATATTCTAGCTGCAGTTTTTCTACTTTAGGCTAGTGTTGTGCTTTAAGTTAGCCTGTCGACACTATTAGGTACCTTTTTGCTACGTTTACCATCTAGCTACTGTTTTGCTTCTTTAAGTTGGTGCTGTGCTCCTTGTAGTTAGCCTATTGCTACTTTAAGCTTTTAACTAGCTTTTTGCTACTTTTAGTTTTCAACTAGCCTTTCGCTACTTTTAGTTTATAGCTACCATTATGCTAGTCTTAGATTCTAGCTAGGTTTTTTTTGTTGTTGTTGTTGCTACTTTTAATTTCTACAGATTCTTTTTTGCTACTTCAAGCTTTGCGCTCCTTTTGGCTAGCCTTTTTCTACTTTTAGCAATTAGCTTTTTGCTACTTTTAGTTAGCCTTTTTTATTTTCACTTTTGACCAGCCTTTTCTACTTTTAGTTATTAGCTCATTTTGAGCGACTTTTAGCTTCTCGCTAGATTTTTATTACTTTTAGTTTGTTTTTTTCCTCCTTTATGCTAGTATTTTCCTACTTTTAGTTTGTGTTTTGCTCCTTTTGGCTAGTTGCTTCTAGCTTTTACTTTAATCTCAGAATTCTGTTTTTTTTTTCTCTATTCTTAGAAAAATCAATCTCAGAATTTTGAGAAAATAGAATTAAAGTATAAAAATCTAAATTCTGTCGGTTTAATCAAACTTCTGAGATACACGAGACAGTTCTGTAATTAATGTGTTCATATAGTAATAATTATTATTTAGCTTGCTTTCACTTCTTTCTTTTGAAAATAATTCACATTTTCTACATAAATAAAAGGCTAACATTGCTTAACTGTTAACATAAAAACGTAAGAGTTTGTCATACGCGCAGCTCTCAACAGTTTACAATAAGCCCACATGTCCTCATAAACCCAGAAACAAACAGAGTTTAGTCAGAAAAAAGATTTTAGACGTTAACGTTTTTGATAAGGATCCTCTGGGGATATTTTCAGAATTAAACACTGACATGCTTGTTTCCCTCTGAATAAACACGGCTCGTTTTGTGCCGTTTGAGGCTTTTCCCTCCAAGTCCTCGGAGTAAAACTGCAAGTAGTCTGAAGTAATGGACATGGACAGCTCTCCTGGACGCGCTCGCCTCTCCTTCGCCAACCAAACCTCAGTTTCTCTGACAGCTTCTTGATCTGAGTTCAGCCATTGAAAGGGAGAGAGGGAAAGAAAAAAAAAACAGTTTGGCTTGGAGGAGCTGAAGGACGGGCGGAGCGAGGGCCAAAGTTGCCCACAGTCGGTGCCCGTTAATTGGACAAGGTAAACACGGGCAGGATGAGCTTTCGAAGGAGGAATGAGACGGGAGGGAGAGGAAAAGGAGGCAAATGAGGCCATGTGAGGAGAAATGAGAAGAGACAGCTTAACGGTCCAGGTGTGTGAGCCGGTACAGCTTCTCCTTGTTTTCACAGAGAGGCGTTGGAGGGAAACACAGACCTGCTCCACCGTTTCCTGTCGCTGAAAGTCCTCTAACTTTAAAAAGTTATTTTTAGCTTTTCCCTAGCATTTTGCTACGATTAGTTTCTAGCTAACTGTTCGCAACTTTTAGTGTTGTGGTCCTTTTAGAGTTGCTAGTCTTTTGCTATTTTTAGCTTTTGGCTACCATTTTGCCATTTTAGCTAGCTGTTGCTACATTTAGCAAGTGTCTTTGCTCATTTTGGAATTTGGCTAATTTTTTGCAATGTCTAGCTTTCAGTTAGCCTTTTGCTACGTTTAGCTAATTGTGCTACTTTTGTTTATTTTAGCTTCTAGCAGCTATTTTGCTAGTTTTATTTCTTAGCTAACCTTTTGGTACTTCTGGTCAATGGTTAGCTCATTTTAGAGTTTGGTTAGCATTTAGCTACTTCTAGCATTTAGGCAGCCTGTTGCTACTTTTAGCTAACTAAGCTTATAGCTAATCTTTAGCTACTCCAGTTTCTTTCTAGCAACCAGTTTGCTAGTTTCAGTTCTTAGCTAGCCTTTTACAACTTTTAGCTAATTAAGCTTTTAGCTAGTCTTTTGCTACTTTTAGTCAATGGTTTATTCATTTTAGAGTTTGGCTAGCAGTTACAGTAGCTACTTAGCATTTAGGTAGCCTTTCGCAACTTTTAGTTAATTAAGCTTTTTTGTTAGCTTTTTGCTACTTTGGTTTTTGCTAAAATTTTGTTTCCTTTAGCTTCTAACAACCATTTTGCTAGTTTTATCTCTTGGCTAGCCTTTTGCAATTTTCCTGTTTTTGCTATTTAAGCTAGTGGTTTGCTCATTTTAGAGTTTGGCTAGCATTTTGCTGCTTCTAGGTATTAGCTAGCCTTTTGCTAATTTTAGCTAGTAGTTGCTAACCTATTTATTCTTTAAGATAAAAYTACTGTTTTACTACTTTTAGTTAGCGTTTGGTCTTTTTAGTTATCTTTTTCTAGTACAACTTTTGGCTAGAATTTATTTTCTTTTATTTATTAGCTAGCATTTTGCTACTTTTCGATTCTAGCTGCTGTTTTCCTACTTTAACTGCATTTTGATCCTTCTAGCTGGCCTGTTGCTACATTTAGCTTTGAGCCTTTACAGCTTAACGTTGGAGAGAAGCACAAACCTGCAAAATCTTCTAAGGTTGGTAGCGGTGAGCTGTGGAGGTGCTGCCGTGCCAAACAATCACTCAGGACGTCGGATTCCAACATGGTGTGAGCGTGAGCCTGACGAGACAAAATACACACAAAATATGCAGGTGTTGAGGTGTAGTTTTGTGATTTGGCCATTTAATAATTTTGATTTCATTCTGCAGAAGGCATTTCATTCAGTTTTATACCCTGCCACCAGAGGAGAAAGAGAGATGATGTATGTCTGTTTGTGTTAGCAAAATATCCCTTTAACCACAAGACAGGGTATAATGTATAAATCAGATATGAGTCGCTTCTGGCTGCAGTGTGAATGTAGCTTTAATCTAAAACTCTTGTATGAAGGACGGCAGGTAATATGCATTCCTTTATGCAACTCTTTAATTTAAATATAAAACGTCTGTTTCGTGTTTAGCGAGCTTCGAGGACCAGATCCCAGAAATCTTGTTACTCCCAAACACTCAAACAAAGTTAAAGCGAGACAATTTACTTTATTATCCACCGTTAGCGCAGCGTCCCCGAGGACCTGCTGAGACATTTTACTGACAGAGGATGCTCACAGAGGCTGCCAGAGAACCACGTTCGCGTCATTGGCCAGGAATATTCGCCGTGTTTACGAAGATGTGAGCTGCAATGGTTGAGTCACGTCAGCTGCACGAAGTCTTATTCCGCCCCGGAGGGTGCGTCCGAACACAGAAACACACGTTGTTCCGTTTAAACCAATAAGGCTTTTTGAGTCCATTTGAGCGTCACTCACGGTCCAAATGAAACAAACAAGGTCCAGATAACGCCGAACAATAGGCTCACTATTCCCACTTCCAGGGAGTTTTTGTTTTGTTTCATCCTACTGAATTATAAACACTTTGTTCCCCCACCAAACTCCTTGTTTGACAAAAACCGGATCTTTTTTTTTTCCCTCGGAGAAAAAGAAACCGTTTTTTTCAGCCTTGAGCTGAATAACCTGCCCTGCGTCTTCTGCCAATAAACCAAACGTTTCTCAGCCTGGATTAAAAATAAAAAAATAATAATCAAAAGAGGAAAGCAGCTTTTCTGTTTTCATCTGGGAGCCTTTAATATCGCGGTTGATGTTTCTGTTCGGGGTGAAGGCCAGCATCGAAACAAACAGTTTAGTTTACTGAACTAAAACAAACGAATCAATCACTCCTGTTTGTTTACAAAAGCTTGTTTCGGAGCACTTTGCACCGAACGTTTCTGCAGCCGGAACGAATCCAAAAACCAAAAGTCATATCAAGATGTTTCAGCTGGGATTGTTTTTTATCGGTAAACAAGTTGTCTGTTTGTCAGATGATATAAAAAGATGTTTTTAAAAACTGTATCAGTCAAAGAAAAATTGCTGAAGGACAAACAGTTAATAAGGAACAGGAGCAAGAACTAATCCTGGACTATAGAGTGGATTATGAACAGTAAAGTGGAGTTCTGTTATAAAGTTATGAACAAGAAATGTGTTACCTGTCGTAGATGACACTTCGAGGTCCAACTCTGACCAGACTGATGAGCTAATGGCTAGTCTGAGCCAAAGCGGATCTTGGCTTCGCTCATAAAAGATGTYAGCTCGTTATTTAATCTCTTCCTCTTCAACCTGAGGTCGTTTTTAAAATTTTTTTATCTACGACAGGTAAGATATTAACTGCTCATCACYTTTCCACAGAACCCCACTTCTGGACTAATTTCATTCAAATGAGATATTTTGCTAACAAACAAACTGGGCCGACAGCAACAGTTAAGTCAAGGATTTAAGCAGCTGTTTTCTGTTTCTGTGAGTCATTTAACTTTTAGAAGTCATTTTCAGCATTTTGCTAGCCTGGCCCTTGMCTTCCTACACAACTCCGCTCAATTCTAGTTTCCCTTCGCTGCTCCGTCTGGGATTTCTCAGACGAGGATTTCTTCAGGAGAATTTCGTTTGGGCCAATCAGAGAGCAGAACGTCGATTTTCTGCTTAGTGTCTGCTAGTTAGTTTAGCATWCAGCAGTGGAGGAAGTGAATGAAGCCAGTCCDTGTTGATAAGGCTTCCAAATTAAATTAAATCTGTCTGACAAATCAGCAGCTCTCATTTACAGTCGTCTCGTTCGGCTCGGTACTTCTCTCCTCTCAGTAGGGTTGTTTACAGCGAACGCGATTTCTGGTTAGCTTCTTAGCTTAGCCTCCTTCACAGTGGAGCTGGCACATATACATCATTTTAAACTTCAACAGAGGCCACGCCTCCAGCAAGAATCACTTCTCTATAGCTGAGAGTCCAGAGCCTCGTACGAAGCAAAGTGAAGGACAAGGGTCTGGTTTTTACCAGGCTAGCATTTTGGTAGCTTTCTGCTACTTTGAGTTTCTAGCTGATTTATTACTTTAAGCTAATGTTCTCTTTTTAGAGTTTGGCTACCATTTTGCTAGTTTTAGGTTTTCTTCTTTTAGACTGAAGCTACTGTTTTGCTACTTTCAGCTAGCCTTCTGCTACTTTGACTTTGTCTAGACTTTTTTTCTTTTAGCTTCAAGCAACTCATTTGATTTGTTTAGTTCTTAGCTACCCTTTTGCCACCTTCAGCTTCTAGCTACCAAATCTTTACTTTTAGCAAGTGATTAGCTAGTCTTTTGCTAACTTTAGCTTTTAGATCACCTTTTTGATACTTTTGTATAATTTAGCATCTAGCAAACTATTTTACTACTTTTGGAGAGCATTTTGTTACAGTTTTTTTTTTTGCCAGACCTTTGTTTACTGCAGCTTCTAGAAAGCACTTTGCTAGTTCTGTCAGCCTGGGTCACAGACATGTTCTGGTCTGAGTCGTGGGTACCTTGACCTCCCGGTCTTGAAGGCCTTTGGAGGAATGAGCCTTGACATGTTTCCGTAACGAGCTGGGATCAGTGTAACGCTTGGTGCATCCCGGGATCTGACAGGCGTATGGTTTCTATAAGCAAAACAAACAACATCAGATGTAATAAAATAATTTCTCTCCATCCCACAAAAATAAATTTAGCTGCTACTTTTTCAGATTATTGCTTTACTTCTTGACCGATAATTTGACATTTTGTATTTTACTGTAAATAATGGAGCCAACATGAATTTGAAACCCCACAAATGTTTCAGGATTGTGGTTTCAGACGAGGCCGCAGACTAAACTCTGATCCGTCTTTTCCAAATAATAAAACTCATGTAATCTTATTTGTTTGAGGAAGATCAAAAATGTGCAAAAACACAGAGAAACGGCTCAGTGTGAGTTTAGCCGAGTCACATCTGCATGAAAATAAAAAGATCATGAATTTAATGAAGCTTCAAAGTGAAGCATATTTACCTTTCTTCTGAAAGCTTAAAGGGAAGGAAAAAACAAGAGTTCAGAAAAAAAAATACATAAACACAATTTGCATTCAAAATAGGGTCAAATAAAGCTGTAATTTAAGCAGTTACTCTGAAATTATTAAAAATGTGAAACATTTTAAGCTGTAAAAATCAGCCTTACATAAATATATGCGCATTATTCACAGTTTTTTGAACATCTTTAAAAATCCCCAAAGTTGTAATGCTCATAACAAACTTGAATTTAAACGTCTGTTACATTATATTCAGAACTTATTTACATTCAGACAGGCCTCCATAACAGTGCCAGATGTGTCTGATTCTTTATTTGTGATGAAACTGAGAAATACCGCCATTAGCCGGCGTGAAACCATGAGAGGGGGGGAGTAACTGTCTCCTCCTGTTGTAAAAACAGCCGAGAGCGACGAGCGGCTCCAGCTCATCTGTGAAATTAGAGATCTGATTCGCTGGATTTCTGCTAAATCTTTGCCGCTCGTCAGCAGGAGCAGAAATAACTCTGGGCTTTACAGCAAATCCACAGAAAATATTTGGTTTTACAGTTTCCCTGATGGGAGGMATAACCAGAGCAGTGGCTTTAAATTCAGCTCATTTTAGGCTTTTGTAGCCTCATATACTCTCATTTTTACACTTCAAATCTTAATTATGGCAAAAATCTACACACACACACACAAATATAAAAACAAACACACACGTCTCACGACTCAGTTCAAAATAATTGACATCCTGTAACTTTAACAGGACAGAATGGGATTCAAAATTACGTTCAATCTTTCAGCCAAATTTTTTCCCACAATTTAAGAAGATAAAGGACCCCTCTAATATATTTTGTATAAGTAGGTAGAGCTGCAGATTTCAGATTGGGCCATTTTAGCATTCTGACCAACGAAGTTGCGAGTGCTCTTACATTATTTTTAGCAAATAGAGAGCCAGTTAAGTGGGCCACACCCAGAACAAGGCGCAATATCCCCTCTACAGTGGAGGGCATGGTTCCGCTAATCAGCTAGCAGCTAATAGCGTAAACAGATTTTTATTTCCCATTTTAAAGTTAACTTTGAAACCGTTAGCAAATCAGTTAGCTTCCGCTAAATTAGGTTTTGCCTAATTTAAGTCAGCTAACAAACTAACATCAACAAGTTTGCGTCAGTCCCACCAGCCTCCAGCTTGAAGGACACAAAAACGTGTAATGCAGACTAAGGCTGTGTCCAAAACGGCAGGACGGGTCCTCCGAAGGTCGAATTTGTCGGCCGCATACGTCACAGCGCCGCGACGAAGGACGTCCAAAACGGAAGACTCCTCCGATGCGTCCGACAAATACGTCCTTCTTTTTCCCCGAATCGAAGGACAGGTCCGATGGATCCTTCCCGGCCCAGCATATCCCATAATGCATTGCGGCCCGACCGGAGAAATGGCGGACGAAGCGAGAGAAAAGAATACAT